CCCCCCGTGGAATGTTACCCTCTCCACCGAGCCAACGTTCGTGTCGTCCTCCTTTCCTCGGTGCTTCCCCAAAAAGCCCAACCCTCGTTCCGCTTCGAAACGAAGGAGGACACCGCCGCGAAACCCGCGATCGGAACGACGAAACAAACGTTCAGAGAAGAGAGAAGAAGAGAAACGAGATATGTATGTACGTGGCGAAAGAGTGAAACAGCGGGGAGTGGACTTAAGAAGACTCGAAGAGGACGAAGAAGAGAGGAGAAAGGGGAGAGATAGGCCGCGAGAGAAACGGAACGAAAGAGAGAAAGGAGCGGCTGTGGCACCGCTGCCTCCGTGTATCTACACAGCCATATTTCAGGCCGTCCTTTACAAGACAATGGTTTCAGCCAAAGACCGATAAAAATTATTCAAATGACTGGCCCCGCTGTAAATTCCATCTGGGAATCCCCTTTGCCACCGCGTGTTCTCCGCGAGAGCCATCTTCTTTCTGCGCGTGCGCGTTCTCCAAGAGGAAACGTGCAAGCGCCCGTTTCCCTCCTCTGTCCTTTCTTTCTTATCTGCATACATACGATTTACAACGTCCGCGACGATATCGGGATCACGGTTGGTTGAAGTTTCGATTGGAAAAGTTGGCTTAGTCAGATTGACCAGAGACAAAAGCGGAAGGATGATTTTGAACTTGTCGGAGACAGAGTATTCTATAGTTAGTGATTCAGCCGCGTTTAGCGATAAAAAAATGTTCTGGTGATTTAAATGTTGACTGAAATCTTTTAGACGCGCGTCGACGTGTGTTTAGAACTTATTCGTTTACATAAGTAAGTAGTACAATTAATGTAAATAATACAATACAATATTTATATTAGTATGTTACAATAATATAATATAACTAAAATATATATTATAATATAATAATATTAGCATAATATAATATAATATAATTGATATATATTATAATATAATAATATTAGTATAATATAATGTAATATAATAATAGAAATATAATATAATATAATTGATACATATTATAATATAATAATATTAGTATAATGTAAAATTGTATACTGTATATAATATAATAATATTAGTATAATATAATATAATATAATATTATATACAACGTAATCAATTGAAGCGAAACTACAAACACAGAATGCAAAAATCTCGAACAAGTCTCAACCACGACGAAAAAATACAGCTTCAGAAACACTCATTGTCAGCCCCTCCCTTACAATCCCTTACAATCTCTGTAACACCATAGTTCACTCGACGACGCCAACAATCGACTTCATTCCACCATACACTAACTCGCCGAGCGCTTGCACGTGTCACAAAAAAAAAAAAAAGGTGTGTTCGACGCTTTTCCACGATCATGGAATTCCTGCTCGCTTGTTGGTCCTCGTGAAATCGACTTTTCAACTTCTCTATATCTGCTTCCCTTTCCCTCTTACTCTCCTCCTTGTTCTCGCATTCATCTTTCTCTTTCTTTCCTCTTTTTTCTTCTTCTTTTTTTCTTTTCTCCTTCCTGTCGATATCTCGGCCGTGTCCCTTTTTGTAAGAAGAATGGGACGACGACGTTTGTCGCCCATCTGCGCCGCGTTTAACAGAGGCGGATACCGACAATGGGCTAACTCTATTGTTGCCGCCGACACGCCGGTCACAATATTTCCTGATATCCTGGCTTTTCGGGACTCCGGGGGATCTCCACGTAAAACCGCCACCGATCCCATCTTGTGATACATGCCGCCTGTTTTCCTCAAAGAAAGGAGAGAAAACCGAGTCGACAGCTGTCGATTTTTCGCGTCAGAGTAAACGCACGAGTTCCTCGAAACAATTAGAGGGGCCGTTTTTATTGGCGACAGTTGACAGAAAATTGCCGGGAAAAACATCGTGCGATTTCCTTTCCTCTCTGTAGAAAGGGAGGATACACTTTCACTGTTCTTCTGCTAGGAATTTTATAAATTTTGTAATTTTTTTTTTTTTTCGTTATACGGGTAGAACTTGATTGATATGAATTTATATCTTACGTCATGTTACTTGTACATTTATATTACTTGTGTTATATTTATTTGAACCAAATTTTGGCCGATGGCCGACTAAATGATTGCCGATTGAGTCCACTTGCAATTACAGCTGAATCAAACTAACAGAGAGGGGAATTAGTGCACTTCTGTCACACGAGTTTCAATATATATGTATAAATAAATAATTTAATAATAATAATAATAGTAATAATATATATATAAATAATTTAATAATAATAATAGTAATAATATACACACACACACATATATATATATATATTATGTCCTTCAGCAAGGGATATTTATATTTTTCTCTTCGATTTTTACAAAAATTTTTCAGTGTTTTCACATAAAACTCCACTCACGATATCTTTCCTCTCCATTGCAAACGTTTCCAGTGCAAGGAAATTTTTGTTCTTTGTAATGAAGATTTGTGCTCAGGTATTCTGTTGTTTATTGTACACTGCTTAATATACATAATACATGTATATTGCAGGGTGTCACCGCGCTTCACATCGCGGTTCGCGACAGGAACTTGCCAATGGTGGAGTATCTGCTGAGCCAACCCGACATCGATCCAGGCGACGTGCACCTGCATGCCATCAGAGAGAACGAGATAAAAATCGCCATCGTCATTCTAAACAAACTGAACGAATTGTCACCCGGTCTGGAGTACGCCGGCGTGACGCAGAGCACCGATTTCCCGAACGAGGCAACGCCGCTCGCGGTCGCCGCCCAGTACGGACACTTCGAGATGATCAACGTGCTTCGAAACAGGCAACACAGCCTTCCGAAACCTCATCTACCCAGCTGCGTCTGCGAGGATTGCAAGTACGAGAGAATAAGTATCGAACATAACGAACGTTTGCAGGTTGACTGCGGATTTTTATGCATTTTTAAATTCTCATGAACGTTCAATGGAGCTCAAGTAGAAAGTCGTGTCTTCTACGTATTATTGTAATCAACGATCGGCTCTTTGTGTGCAAATTTTTATATATTTTTGCATATTATACTTTTGCACATTTTGCACTACAAATTTGCATAAAAATCGACAGTGTTTTGTAAAAAGCGTACGTGGATGAAGAAACATTAAGAAGCTTGCAATTTTGCGAAAATTGACAGTAATTCAAAGTTCACTACAAATTCTAATTTATAGAGTCGATTTTCCGATGTAATGTCAAATTCAACTAACGACGCAAAAGATTTCTATAGAAAAAAAAAAAAAAAAGTAAAAACGAAAGAAGAAAACGGTTTCACAAGAAATGAAATGAAATTAACAAGCTTCTGGTTCGACAGCGTAGAAGCGAAAGAGAAAAGTACGACGTTCTAACGATAGAGAAGATGCGATTATATACATACAAGGCCATTGCAAACCCAGCGTTCATATGTCAAACGGTCGACGATCCAATTTTGGAAGCGTTCAATTTGTCCTGCGAATTAAGAAGGGCCGGCACGTTCGTCAGGGAATTTTATTCCGAGTACAAATCGCTCGCTCAGGTTACTTTTATTTTTCATTAAATTATAGAGCAATTAGTTCAATCGCCACTCTCACTAGCATATACGTTTCAAAGAACGACAAAGAAGATCGTTTAAAGATTCTAATAAAGATATGTCTGCGTTTGAATTCTTTTTCACGAAAGAAAAGCACATAAATGTTTAAATTGAAAAATAATATTGAAATCAAAATTAACATAAAACTAAATTAAAATGTAATATGAATATAATACTTTATGTAGAAAAAAAGTATACAGGTGCGGTCGAATGTGTATGTACGAGCGAGCATAGACTCAATCGAGAATATATTTCTCTCTCTCTACAGAACGTTTCACAATTTGCAACCGATTTGATCGGTTGTGCCAGAAGCGCGGACGAGGTGGAAACCATATTGAAACAGTCCACTGGATTCTCTCATTCGTATAAATTTTTATATCCCAGGCTGTTGTTCGCGTTGCACAACAAGCAGAGAAGCTTTGTAGCGCATCCTAATATACAACAGGTATATTATTTGTACATTTCTACATTTTATAAAAATGAAGATTATATTTTTAATTGTAAACAATAAATATAAACATTATACTATATTATATAAATATTATATATATGAATATTAAATCGCATCCTCATATACAACAGGTATACATTGTACATAGTGACCCATTCTGATACATTTTAGAAGAATGAAGATACCTTTACATATAATTAATTAAAACAATAATATAATTATATGGTATATTTTTAATTATAAATAATAAATATAAATATAAATATTATATTATAATATTATATATAAATATATTATATAAATTTATAAATATATTATATAAATATTATATATATATCATATATATAAATATTAAATCGCATCCTAATATACAACAGGTATACATTGTACATAGTGACCTATTCTGATACATTTTACAAGAATGAAGATACATTTACATACAATTAATTAAAACAATAATATAATTATATGGCACATTTTTAATTATAAATGATAAACATAAATATAAATATTATATTATAATATATATAAATATATTATATAAATATTATATATATATATATTATATATATGAATATTAAATCGCATCCTATATACAACAGGTATACATTGTACATAGTGACCTATTCTGATATATTTTACAAGAATGAAGATACATTTACATACAATTAATTAAAACAATAATATAATTATATGGTACATTTTTAATTATAAATGACAAATATAAATATAAATATTATGTTATAATATTATATAAATATATTATATTATACATGAATATTAAATATATATATATATATATGAGTATTATAAATTTGTATTAAAATATAATTATTATATAATTTTAATTAATCATATATATATATATAATTACATTACAAATAATATTCACCATTAGTGATAAATGGTAATAACTACAAAAAAAAAAAAACCAATAATCTCCCGTCGTTCACTAAAAAACTGAAATTGTCAATTTGCAGCTGATAACAAGCAGGTGGATCGACGGCTGGCACGAGTGGATATCCATGGACACGTGGATGAAGTGTTTGTTCGTGCTGGTGCGAATCTTCGTGCTACCGGTGATACTGGTGGTGGTGCTGGTCGCACCGAATTCAAAGAGGTCGAAATTTTGGCAGTCGCCGGTCAACAAGTTCATCTCGTCGACCGCCAGTTACTTGGTGTTCCTGTTGTTCGTTTTCCTACAGTCGAACATGGACAAGAGCGAACAGCTCCGCGGACCGCCCAACAACGGTAACAACACATTTACGGTAGTACCTCGTTTAGAACCTCGGCTCGGATAATAGAGGCTCGTTGTATTCTTGTTGTATTCTTCGACTAATGAAATAAGGATAAGAGAAGCCGAGCTCGATCACGAGCTCGTGTACTCTGACGTGTACACCGTTCCGTATATAAACGAGGCTCTACTGCATCTGACAGATCGACGAACGAAATGAGAACGTCCGCTTCTTCTTCAATTTCTGATATCCTGGCTGCTTCCTCAGCGTACGTGTGGATCCTGATAATTTACATAATGTCGTTCTCCTGGGAGCTGATTCGCATCAGCATAATACACGGGCCGAAGAGGTTCTTCACTGGGCCGTGGTACTGGTAACGATCATTTTTCAATATTTTCGATAGACAGATGAAATTAGAGAAAGATCCGATAAGAAATGTTGAGTGATCCTCTGATATATCCTGAATTAACAGTGAGACAAAATTGAAAATTCCTTTGTATTATTTTGATATTTACAACAGTGTCCATCTGTCACTGATTTATCAAGTAAATTTATCAAAATGTTCAGAATGTTAATATCGAAGTGTCGCGCGCGAATGTCAACTGTAGGCGATTTCGATTTTAACCGGAGGACATGTTTGAAACGATGACAGGTTCGAAATGATCATGATATTCCTCTTTATTTTGACCTTCCTATATTGGATAACTGCCGCGTTGGACGTTAGAATAAACGGGCAGCTCGAATTGGAGAGGAAATATTGGAATCGATACGATCCAACGTTGATCGCCGAGGGGATTTACTGTCTGGCGACGATAATGGCCTTTCTGAAATTGTTGTACATCTGTCAGTTGGACTATTATCTCGGACCGCTTCAACTCTCCCTCGGCCAGATGATCAAGGACGTGGTGAAATTCATCATACTCTTCAGCATAATCATTTTTGCATTCACCGCCGGTAATACGACTACTCGTTGCTTATCAAGAGTTCCCAGATTTTCTATAAAATCACAACGTCTTACTTTTTTACTTTCTTCCTTCTTAGTTGTTCGTCTCGGCCCGGTCCAGAATTAGCGGATCAATTTTCAAACTTGATTTGCTCGACGATTTTCGATTTGTTTTTCTAATATAAAAAAAAAAAAAGGCATCCGACGTGTAGAACGATGAGAATAATTTGTTCCGGAGTGTACAATTTGTTCGATTTGTGTGATTTTACTTGGACACAAGATTTATTTTATTTTAGTAAATGAAACACGCGTTCTTTCGAATTAATTACGAATAATAATATAAATAATGTAATAATAAATAGCGTTTGCGCAGCATGATAAATAATAATAAAATGTTCACAGTCCTGTACAGAATTGATGAAACTTGTTGTTTCTCCAGGCACGTGTAGATTGTATCAATACTACGAGGACATGGTTCAAATTGACGACGAGTCGAAAATCAAGACCCAACAGATCAACTCGTTCGTCAATTTTTCAGCCACGTTGAAGACACTTTTCTGGGCAATTTTCTGTATGAGCCCCATCGAAAGCGCCGATGTGATAATTGAGAACCTTCCGGGTGAATCGGAGAACGAGACAATCATCAATCAACATACATTCACCGAGATTATTGGCTACATAGCTTTCGCCGGTAATACGTTCACCTAAATTTCCTTCCGGCCTCTCCGTTGGAAAAATTTCAGATAAAATTCACTTGAAATTCCAATATCTCATCGTTGAACATTTTTCACGTCGTTACGTGGTAATATTAATATCCGACAGAGTAATTTAAGTGAAGCAGCATATCTCGGGCGCGGACTTTTTTCGTTTTATATTCTTAACTTAGTGTTTTTCAATTTATAATAACACATTGGAAAGTTAAGATAAAATTCACTTGAAGTTCCAATACGGTTTGAAAATCAATGTCTGGCAAAGAAATTTAAAACAATGCGACAACAATGTCTATTGAATTGAAAATCTCTGAGTGCAGATTTCTATGCACGTAGCTGAAGAAATGTATCTACTTTGCTAAAGATTAACAAATGTTAATAATCAATGAATATTAAGATAAATACTCTACTTTGGATATTCGATACTACTTTCTAAATTACTACATCTGTTGCTCCAGCTTTAAATCCACTCCAAGTGTGATCTTTCCACTTTCAGGATTCACTTTTATTAGCGTGATCGTGATACTGAACATGCTGATCGCATGCATGTCCAGCACGATGACGAAAATCACTGAGAATGTAATCGTGGAATGGACTTTTGGACGAACTGAGGTTCGAGATACAATCAATTATTATGTTAATACAGACAATGAGGAAGGCTATATTTTACTATCGAAATGTTCATCTTTTCAGGCTTACGTTGATTTTATGCTCACGACCACGCTTCCACCGCCGTTTAATATCATTCCAACGTACGTTGGTATGCAACCTGTTGTCGAGTATTTGAAAGTATGGCTGAAACCAACCCCGGACAAACGTGCACGATGGCATCCAAATTATTGCTTTTATATCGTTAGTACACAATTAACATTTTACACACATTCGTGTAACTACGTTTCGAAAATTTCCACAATTTCGCAAATGTTCATTTCGAGAGTTGAAATCAAGGCCGAGCATCGCCGCAATAAATAAATCTTTTCATTCAAACGATTATTCAAGTAAAATTTTTATTTTACTTGTCATTTGTCATTTACTACTTCGAAACGAGGGTATATAATAAAATAATTGTCTTTCTATCGTGATATTAAATCTTCATTCTAATATCTAATACACAAAAGATTGTTATTTCTTATTTTGCATTGTTATTTGAAATTGCAATTTGGAGATATTTATTTTCAAATGTGATTTTCATTGGAATTTGTGAACGTTCTTTTTCAACAATGTTTGGTCTTTTCAATTTTCAAATTAATAATTAAATTAATAGTTAACGAATAAGTTAATAAATTGGCCCCTTTGATTTTCATATTTCAATCGTTCAATTTTTATAAATCGGACAAATATAAACCAATTTTAAAATAAGTTCTTTTAAATTAATAAAAGTACAAATTTTAAATCAAAGTTCTTTCAATTTTCAAACAATAACTACCAAACCATTAGAAAAAAAAAAGGAAGAAAAGTTAAGCAATCTTCTTAGTTGATCACTTGCTACAGATATTAAAAATCCATTCTAACAGAAACGCACATCTGCTTGTTGCAGGAAACACTAACGGAGGAAAACGACTCTGACTTTTCCATAGTGATGGGACAATTGGTCCAGCGTTACTTCCGGAAGAAAGACAAGGAGGCGGAGGAGAACGAGGCAGAGAAGCTAACGAGAGAAATTATAGAGCTGAGAAATCTTTTAAGAGACGCACTCACCACCATTTGAAGAGGAGAATGTATAAGACAAAATGAGGAATTCCAATATCCTCGTTGTTAGTGTTATCGGTAGACTGCGGATTTTCATGCATTAATGAAACAAACTTCTGAAGAGGCAGGAAGATGCAGAGAATGCACGCAATGTACAATAAAACTCCGTTTATACGATATAGATCCACGGAGATTATTAAAGTAGAAAAGTAGGAAAGCTTTGCACAGAGATTTTGTGTATCAAAAGCTTTGTGAGGAAATTAGTTACACAAGCTTTTGTTTGTACGTTTTCATGAAGAATCATTTAAATCTCTAAAAACTGTTTTCTATGTTTATGGAATTACGAATTGGTCATTTTCACCATTTTGATAATTCCTAGAACTAAACTTACACTCTTGCTAAACTGCAATTTATGTGACTCAAAAATTTCAGTAGTATCTGATTATTTGAACTGTGCGTCAATCCGAAGAGCATAAGTGTGGATGGCGAGGGGAAATTATCAACTTCGCAATAAAAATCTATTTGATCACGTTTTTAAGCCACCGCTTTCACGGTTCTAATTTTTTTTTTTTTTTTTTTTTTTATCACTGTGGAAGTATTTTTCATATAAAATAAAATGTCATATGGAGTAATGGCAGGATTATTGGAATTATTTTAATAAATCCCGTTCGAATTTTATTCGCGTTTCTGGTACACAGAGCATGCAATAAAATATATTATCAGCGATGAAGGCACTTGCACGTTTTCATAATAGAATTATTGTAATGAATTCTGTTAATGTTTCATATGTTTTAATAAGGTAATAACGAAAGTTAATTGTATTTTAACACGAAGTATGATAGCTTTAGGACTTTTTAGGGATAGATGGGAGTGTATTTTCGGCGAAGAAGACGAGGAAGATCGTGGAAAGCTTGGAAATCTCGTGAATAGCAGGGTTAACGACCCGTCACAGTCTTTCAGAATACTCAGGACCTTATGACGACAATTTTTCTGTCCGCGTCGTAAGAAAAGGCAGCTTAAAAGCTCTTTGCGCTAGAAGGCTTTGCCTCCTTACTTGCTTCGTTCTCGGAAAACGTACGCGAAATATACGAATAAATCATCACGGTGTCAATGGAAATGGAGATTCTTTTTTTTGGAAATTTTTCTATCGTCTGCGAAGAAAAGGAAGCAGTAATCGTTAATAATATTCTATTTAATGAATATTATTTTTATATATCGTGTACGTTGTAAACATATTTTTGTACTCAATTAATATAAAATTACTACATTTATTATATTAAATTATTATACTAATATAATTACAGTAAACAAACATTACTAAATATATCTTCTGTCACATTACTAACAGTTATCTGTTCTGATCTACTCGTTTATTACTTTCGTCGAGTATAATTCTGTTTTCTAAAAATATATGCTACATTTTTCTTCCTTCATAAAGTTTCCTTCGTTCGCCGCAATATTAAATTCTTCGTAAAAGTTGTGCTTGTTAATGTAGTATAAAATGAAATAACGAAATCATAACATCGAGAGAGATTGAGATTTCTTATAAATAATGTGTCTCCTTTCTTTAAAAAAAAAAAAAAGAATGTAGTAGAATTAAATATATTAAAAGCGACTGCACTCTTCGGAAGAATTATTGTGCTTGGAGAATTGTAAAATTGCAGACGAATAATCGAAGATATGCTCAATTTAATCAAACGATCAACATTACAAGTCAACTCAATCGAAACATTGATACATGAATATGTGACAGAATGTAATGTTATTTCGAGATGAAGAAAGAACTTCTCATAAAAAAAAAAAAAAAAAAATTGAAAGAACGAAACTTCTTCCGAACGAAAAAAAGAAACCGCCAGTATTTTACGAGCCGCGTGATTTGCATGTTATAATTAAATCGCCGGGCGAAAGCTCGCTCGTCTCGCGGCGCAAACCGTGAAAATTTTCTTTTAATATCCGCTCGTGTATCGAGCCATCGCCTTCAAAGTCAATTACTCTGCCTCCTCGGCTCATCTCCACTACGCTAAGAGCGCTTCGGATTGAAATCGACGTCGACGTGAAATATAAACGTGAAACATTAACTATATATAAAAAAAATAAAAAAATAAAAAATAGAAAAAACACGTTGTAACCGACAGCGACGCCCGGAAATCGAGATCCAGAATCTTGGCGATGGTTTTGGAAAAGCGATGAAAAAAAAAGGGGAAGAAAGTATAATACAGGAGTACAAACAGAGCACTCGAACGAATCGATACTCGAGTGGAAGTGGACCGGAACTCGAGTATCTGAAATTGCCCTGACGTCAGCTTTTTCCTCCCACCCTCCCTTTGTTTGTCGCGATGCAATATCAACGTTTAAACAACGAAATTGGCCGCGCCGTTGGATGAAACGATGTACCATAAAACGAGAGACGTTTCCTGTAACCCATTAGCCGGCTGATGACACGGAATCGTCATAAAATCTATTAAAACGCTGCACGCTCGCCCCTCGTTTATTGCCTTATCGACAGCATGCTCGTGTTCTTGATGCCATACCTCGCGATGGTTATTATAATAGTTTATTGTCCGTGTGAGTAACAAGTGAAGTGATGGCATAGTAGCGAACAAATAACATATAGTAATATTATTGTACATATAATATATTATTATATATTGTGTTATTAATAGTAATACACTATTATTATTATTTTATTTATAATATGTTAGATTTTAGTGCAATTACTACATACATATTGTAATATATTCTATATTATAGTGTATAATAATAATATATTAATAATATATTGTATGTAGCAGATTGTATGTATAAATAAATAATTACTATAATAATATATATAATATCATATGTATACGTGCATACATAATAATTAGACCGTGGAAATTTATACACATTTAGAGAGAAATTATTTCCTAGAATTATTAATATTGCAATTTACATATATTGTATATTTTTGCACAAATGTATGAAAATCTGGAGTCTAATAATAATATATATCTGTATAAATTTCTAAGTAGTATACTTTAAATATCTTAATACAGTATAATATAACGTATTTTTATCAATATAGTTGTTACAGTCTTTTATAACAATTGCTCAAACTAAAAGATTCCGTATAATTGTTTCAACAACCGAAATCCGCATTATTCACGTTTCCCCACTGCGAAAAGAAGTTGAAGTTCTCTCACTTAACGTTTAAAACATCGTAGCACATAATAAGAAACACAAACTACTTGTTAGTTGAAAGGAACTTTCATTTCAGGCACAATGAATTCCAATCGTGCCACGAAGTATGTGCACGCTCTCTTCGAATTTTGAAGCTGAAGCACATAGCATACCAATCTTTCGAGCTTTAATTTTTCAGTAGCTACGCTGGAATACTCGCCGAACCAAGAGGGAAGGAAAGGTAAAGAGAAGAAAAACAAACGCAAGAATACAAGATTCTTTGAAGAATCTTCAAAGGAACGAAGAAAAACAGAAAACGTTTCTGGCAATGTTTCTCAGAAGACTGTCAGAATAAGAACAGAGTAAGTGGAAAAATTCTAAAACTAAATCAAAGAAAAGAAACCAAGGAAAGAAAAATTACAAAAACAAAATTTTAATTTCATCGATTCATTTTTTTAACACTTTTAATTCACTTGTAAAATTTTGTCGATGCGTACACGACGAAAGTTCGATTTATTTCGAAAGTTCTTTCATTTCCTTTTATTTTGAGATACTGAAGTGTTCGTGCCTGTATTGATTGAAACATAATTTAAATTATAAATCATTTCTAGAATAAAAAGGTCAGGTTAAAGTGCGCGTAAATATTTCTCAGTTTCCACGAAGAATTACGCCACTTTCAAAATAAACGATGCATTTCTCACAAGATCGGCTCAGAAAGTAGAATGCATCAACTTCAAACAGCTCGCATCTACAGGTATAAAAGTCCAATCACTTATTTCGCCATTTGACGTGCTGTACTCTGATCGACATTCGTATCACTGATGAAATAAAGCACGAAAGGTGCATGTTCTATATGCCGCGTCGCATCCTAGAGCTTCTCTCGCACCCTCTAAATCCCTCGCCTACGCTTTGACGAAGTTTACCACGCGTAAAATTCGATCCTTAGATAAGATTCTCTCCTTTCGTAGGCTATTATTACGCGATACCGGAGATAAGAAGCGGAATAAAACCATTAAATAAATTACAAATGATGTAAGAGGGATCTGGTTCAGCTCGAGAGAAGAAAGAGAAGAGTTTGCAACTAATTAGACGTGGATAAATCGTGGAAGAAATAGATCAGCGACCATCTTCGAATGGTTTTATTTTCACACAACCTAAGATGTGTTCTCTTTCAAACTTGGAAGTTATTCGTGTAACATTTGTACCTCAGAAATGGCAAATTCGACGAATTGCCGCATCAGAATGAAATAAAAACATTCCTTTTTATTAAGTTGTTAAAGGTTAAAAGGCATTTAAATTTCCCAGTGCTTGAACTTTATATAATTCCTGAATCCTGTTAGACACGGAGCTTATTAAGTTTGAAGTTTCAAGTGATATCTCTTTTAAACTTTCTCGATTAAATGGTGGATCCGATGACAACAAGTTTTATCTTCTTGTAGTCAATAATTTCTAAAGTCGAGCAATGCTGATAGCCTGGTGTTCCTAGTCTTTATATTTCTTTAGAATTGGTACTATATCTGTATATTATTAAATTGAAGATTTTTATATGTTTGTACAAAATATACGTAAAGCATGCTTTCTATAAAATATTCGGCGTATGAAACAATTTTCTATAATCTCTATAATAGTTTAATCTTATCAAAATAAAAATTTGCAAATTGCTCATTACTGTCTGTGTATTATAATATAATATATATAATTATTACTGAATTATTAATTTACACGGAATATAATTTATCACTTTTGACAAACAAATCGCGTGGCTATGTTGGAAATAATGCATTTTATACTTCAGCTATTCTTCAATAGTTGAAGAACCGCAGGTTTTTGTTCAACACTGATCCAAACGCACCACAATTCACGCGTATCTCCGTGTGAAACTGGCCTTAAACTCGCACCAGTAGTAAATCTTGTCGCTAATCAAACGCACTCGCAGCCACGTTCAGTAGTAGCGGCGAGTAAAAGTCAGACCAGCGCGCAGACTGCCATCAAATGACACTC